TTGTATGTCCAAAACGGTCATGCCACAATTGAACAGTTTGTGACGAAAAATTATAACGACAACTACTAGGTAAAATACTAGCATGCAAGCTAGGAACAGAAAAAGACAAAGCAGGTGCGGGTGAAGGAATTGGTGAAACTGGAGATGGATTGCCAAGATAATGCAGTCCATCTTTCTCATGTCCCTTGATAATAATCCTCCTGGTACTCAGGTCCTGCAAATAACACGAATCAGATAAGAATACAACCGCACAGTGAAAATCTCTGGCTAACTGATGTACAGATAATAGATTCATGGCCAACTTTGGCGCATGAAAAACCGAATGTAATGTAAGGCCATCTGGGAGACGGACTGTACCCCTACTAACAATAGGGGCATGTGTTCCATCTGCTAACTGAACCTGTGTATCTAACGGCTCGTCAAAAGTGGTGAAGTGATGGGCCTCACCTGTCATGTGACCATTCGCACCCGAGTCCAACATCCAAAGGGGAGATGAACTGGCACAAGCGTGAAAGGCACGAGATATACCTGTAGTGGTAACAGCAGCAGTAGTCAGACTCTGAGAAAGTCAGAGCAGACATAAGTATATCTAATCGGGAAGTGATAGCATCCAAATCACTTTGCCAAGGAGGAGCAGTAGCAGGAGTGGCGGTAGTGGGCGGTGGTACCTCAGCAATAGCAACAGTACGGCTGCGAGAAGGTGGCTTAAGCTCTGGATGGAGCTTCCGGCAAGTAGCCCTGAGATGTCCTGGTCGGCCACAATAATCACATTGACGGGAATCCCCCCGTCTGCGCTGATCTGGGGAGCCCTGACGGCGCTGGTCTGAGCGTTGCCCATCCCTGACTAAGGATCTTGAACGGGACCCTATAGCAGTTGCAAGGGCCATCTGGTCAATCGAAGGAGTCAAAGCTGCAACTGGAAGTGATGCAATACGGACTCGACGCTCATGCTACTCAATCATCCCATACACCTCATAAAGAGAAGGAAGTGTCAACATCGACAAGATCTGAGAACGAGGTCCCTCAAACCCATCACGAAGCCCCATAAGGAACTTGTGAATCCTATCCTCATGCTCTCGAGTATGCAAGAATGCTGCTCCCTCGGGCTCTATCTTCGGAATAGCAGCAAGAGGACGTAGAGACTCATACTCAAGCCAGCGCTGGGTCAAATAGCCATAATAATCCTGAACGGTCATATCTCCCTACCGAGCATATGAGAGCTCCTGAGAAAGCTCATAAACACGAACTCCCCGTCCTGACTGAGAATACATCTTTGATAATGCGCTCCATAGCTTCGGAACAATGCTATGAAACTGGTGGATCCTGCAAACAGAGGGCTCCATTGAGCCAAATAACCATCCAAGAATGACACAGTTTTCAGAGAACCACGCAGAATATCCAGGGTCGGCATCAGCTGGCTTTGGGTGAGATCCCGTCAGCCAACCAAGCTTCCCTACACGGCCTAAGAAAAGCTGGAATGAGCGTGACCACTCAGCGAAGTTACGACCATTCAACAATTGTGCCGTAACTTTTTGAGAGATCATGCCCGGTAATGCTGGTAATGCAACTGTGCTAGTAGGCACTGTATACTGGTCAAACATAAAAGTGGAAGTACCCATAGATGTCTCAACGGTAGAGGTGTCAACAGTAGGGTTCTCAAGTCCCTCAATAGTAGCCATATCAACAACAATACTAGGGCACCCGTGACAGAAAAATAACTCTAAGATAAATAGAGGAATAAAATAAGGGAGAACAATATACCTTCAGTCGAACAGTAGCGACAAATAAGGAAGGTCCAAAAAGCTCCCAAATAATCAAGTCACGGTGCCCAGAAATCCAATAAATATAAATGATCTACTGCATCAAGAGCAGATCAACAGACAGAGAAGAAGATTTAACCCCTCATAAAAAAAAAAAAGGATCCTAGATACTGCAACCTGGTAGCACTATGACGAAGAGTGCAAAGGATGAAGTTAAAACGAGAAACACGACCCGGCAGTGGGCTGAGCAGTGACCCAACAGTAGGCTAGGTGGTTGGGGCGTCGTGTTTATTGGGCAGTGGGTTGGGTTACTGGGCTGGTCTAGTTTGAGACTATATTGGGTGGTCTGTCGGTTGTGAGTTGCAGGCTGTGGATTTATCGGGGCAGTGGGCTAGCTGGCTGATTGTCGGTGCTGTGCAGACTTGCTGTTTGTCAGTTGTGAGTTGCTGGTTGTCGGTTGCAAGTTGGATGTGAGTTGTTTTTTTTTTTTTTTTTTTTTTTTTTTTTTTTTTTTTATTGCTGGAAGGATTATGGTTACGCTGGGTGCTATCAGTTTCGACTAGGTATGGGTGTTGGGGCAGTGGGCAATTCGCTGGGTGATTGATGGTGTATGGGTGTTGGAGGCAGTCGGTGGTTTAATATGTAGGCAGTCGGTGGTTTTTCGCTGGTAGGTGGGTCGCTGCAGTGGCTAATTTGGAGCAGTCACGGTGGCAGTGTGGTGGCCGGTGGATGTCAGCTGCAACGTGGAAGAGGGGCTAGGGTTAGGGTTACAGTTGTGGCTCTGATACCAACTTGGAATGAATGTGTGTGAAAAAGGGATACTCAAATTAAGAGTAGAGCCCCGTATATATATCCAAAAATAATACAGAGTGACTTAAACATCCTTGTAGTTTAGGCAAAATATAAAAATCTTAGTAAGGGTAAAAAGGAAAAAGAAATCCTAATAAACCTAGACTATCTATACTCCAACAATATACGAACATAATATGCCCAAAAACAATCAAGTTTCAAAGAAATCACACAAGTAATTTCCTATGCCAAATTCAACTAGGAATTTGCCTAGTCCAAATTCCACACCCATTTCCATATTTCCACAGCCATGGTCAAATGACCTAGGCTATTTTATACACTACCCATTCCATAATACATCATACATAAGAAAATGAACCAAGGTAGGAGAAAACCCTACCTCTTAAAGCTTGAAATTGAAGATAAAAACTCCTAAAGCCCCAAAAGTTTTGATTTTACAAATCTCCCCCTTTGGATATTCGGTGAAAATCTTCATTCTTGGTACGTACGCGTAGCCCTTGTCGCGTAGACCAACTTTAATTCTTGGATCGACGAATTCCGACCGGCGAAACTCCGAAAATTGAAGGAGAAAGGCTTGAGATTTTTGTTTTCCCTCTTTTCTCTCTTCCAACATGTGGTGTGCTAAACAAGTAGGGAGAATATTTGATTTTCAAATATTTTTTTTCTATTTATACTTTTAATTGCGCAATCCACATTGTCTCGTTAGTTTATCAATTACGAGTCCGATTTTAACCTGAAACGACTTAATTAAATTCCGGTTTCAATTCAAATAATTTTTATTTGAACTTTTATTCAATTATAAGAAAATTTTATAATTTCTATTTTTGGGAACATTTAAAAGTTCATTCGTCACCCAAATCATCTCAAAATATGTTTAAATTTCAACTATCTCATAATTCGACGAAAATTGATAGAGCAGCTCAATTTCGCAATGCGAATGCAATGATGAAGTCCGTTGTTTCATCCGAGCTCTATAAAAATATGCATTTTAAATCCGCATAATAGTGATAAATTACTATTTTGCCATTTTTTATAAAAAGTTTAAATTTATCTGAGTTTTACAGTAATCACATGTCTCTCGGACTTATATGTCAGCTCTTTCTTTTTTGTCTTATATATTATATATTATATATATTTATTTATTATATACATTTTGTTTTACCAAGATTTAAATTACTTGTTGACTTTCCTATTTATATCGATATACTCATATTCTATTTTATTTAGTTACTAGGGTTAACCCAACCTAAATACATGGTGCAATGTGAATGGTTTGAAAGGGATGTTAGTGATTGTTGGATAAGTTTATTTGAAATCGTCGAATAAATTTATTGAAACCTGTTCTATTTTACATTATAGATAAACCACAAGCTATATTTCTACTAATTTAGCTACTACTCTTTATGTTCACGAGTATTCTATTGCTACTGACCACATACCGATATTGAAAGTGCTAATTATCTTAGTTCATATTATTGCTGTTATCTGATCTACTGTTCATGTTTAGATTATTTTATTTAAATTATCACTCGATTGTTTAAAGGTCGTATTTTGTATTAACATATTATAAGAAAATATAAACAATATATAAATTTTTATAACAACCTCCACATACGAAGATCACACGTTAGAATCTGATCTCTCTCGAATACTTTGAAGGAGATCAGAACAACATCTGACTCGAATCACAAAACCTTTGAAGTTGGGGTTTTTCTCTCTAGCATTAACAAAAAAATGAATAATATCTAATCTTAAATTTGAAATTTGAAATTTAAATTTTATAAATATATATTATTTGATGGTATTTATTATGAAGATTTGTATTCAGCATGAATAAGGGGTTTTTTGGTTTGAAAATTGATTTAAATGTTGAATACTATTTTTAATGTTATAAGAAAGATATTTTGGGGTTGTTAAAAAATTTTGGGCTTAATTAATTATTAGTAAAATTAAATATGTTCACATAAATTTTTTTTTGACCAATTACAACGTGTTACGCATTCGAATTACAGTTGAAACTGATTTAAACGTTGAATACTATTTTTAATGTTATAAGAAAGATATTTTTGGGGCTATTAAAAATTTTAGACTTAAATTACTTATTAATAAAAATTTTTTATCAAAATTAATAAATTAAAAACGAATTTATCCCAAATAAATTTTCTCCCCAATTTTCCCAATTAAAGGTCTGGACTCAAAGTGGAATTGGCACAAAAGAAGTGGCCACACGGAGAATCCCTGCACAGACAGGTGGCCTAAATCACATACGCAGAACAGAAAAACAGGAACAGAAAGCAAACTTTAAAAGGCGCAAGAACGAACCAACGGTGTTGATATAACAAAACCAAACCCCAAACTCTCATCTCAGTCGTCTCCTCTCTCCCCTCTTCTCCAACGTCCGATCTCCCCTCTCTCTCCTCTTCCATTCCATCTCCTTCTCTCGCGCCCAAATACAAATACTTGCACAAATCCCCCATTTGTAAGTCTCTCTCTCTCTCTCTCTCTCTCTCTCTCTCGTTACGTACACAATCCTAGCTCTAGATATGGCGGAGCTAGGGTTTGGTTGCGATCGGGAGCTATGGTTTGGTTGCGATCGGGAGCTATGGTTTTTGCTTCGATTGATTTGTGTGTTTGATGAGATTTTCTAGTGTTTGGTTTGTTTGTGTTGACCTAGGGTTTTGGTGACGATGGCTGATGTTTTTCCGGCTCCGGCGAGTCCTGGTGGTGGAAGCCACGAGAGTGGTGACCGTAGTCCGAGATCGAATGTTCGGGAACAGGATAGGTACCTTCCGATCGCGAATATCAGTCGGATCATGAAGAAGGGGCTTCCAGCGAATGGGAAGATTGCCAAGGATGCGAAAGAAACTGTTCAGGAGTGCGTGTCAGAGTTCATCAGCTTCGTCACCAGCGAGTATGAGATTACTTATTTACATCTCTCTATATGCGGATGTGCTTAAATAACCATATACATGCATATCTGTGGTCGGTTTGATTGTGTGAGAATCAAGTACTGTTTTGCAGATTGGGTGTGCAGGCAAGTCATAAATGTATATTTATGCATATGCATGTTTCTGTTTTAGTATGTGCATCGTCAATTGTATCCATACATATCCGAATGTGTGTATACTCGTATTTCAATATGGATATGTATTTGTGTTGTGATTAATTTATAAAGGTTTTTGTTGTCGAATGTGAAGAGCAAGTGATAAGTGCCAAAGAGAGAAGAGGAAAACCATTAATGGCGATGATCTGTTGTGGGCAATGGCGACTTTAGGGTTCGAAGACTATATTGAGCCTCTCAAGGTGTATTTGAATAGATGCAGAGAGGTAATTTTTAATTTAATTCTAACTTTCTCAATGTTTTCGTACATTTTTATTTTGTGATTTTATGGGCCATGTTTAGTTTAACGGACTAATGGATTGATGTCTTTGTCTGGTGATGTTTCGTATTGGATGGACCTGGGGCAGATCGAGGTGAGTGAATGTTCATATTTTAGTTGTACAATTGCTTAAATGTTGGCCCCCTTTGCTGTTTTGTGAAGTTTTCACCTTATCATTGTGATATCTGCTAAAAAAATTCCATTGTGATAGGGTGATGCCAAGGGATCAGCAAAGAGTGGAGATGGGTCTGCTAAAAAAGATGGAGTACAGCCTAGTTCAAATGCTCACAATGTTGCAAATTCTCTTATGGTTTTGTGCCCCTCTTTCCCCCTTTGCATTTTGCTGCTTCGAATGGAATGTATTTTTTTTTTCATTCTTGTCACTCTTTTTCTTTCTGCATTGTTCGTACAGCTTGCTCATCAAGGTTCATTTTCACAAGGTGTGAATTATGGGAACTCTCAGGTAAATTCTGGGGTAGTGTGTGTGTGCAAGAGCATGTCTGTCTATGCGCGCGTGTGATGTAGTGTGTGTGTACGTGTGTGATATAGAATTATAAGCCCATAATTTCTGCAGTAAATATTATGGAAATATATGGCATTTAGACATAAATAGGCTGGTCTCTTTTCTAGTTTTTCTCAAAGAACAAAGCTGAATGTCGAATGATAGTAATAATTATATCTATGCAAAAGAAAAAAACAATAATTCTGTTATGAATTTCGTAATTGGAATCAAATGTGAACTAACAATTGGTAAAAGTGACTCTCATGCATGCTGTAATCGGAAATTGGGTATAACACTGTCCATTTTTATAGTTTTATACTATGAATTTTATAGCAAAATGACTTAACACATTCATTCTTGCAATTATGTTTGGCGTTTTGGCGGAATAAATTTGGGCATCATTATATTGAAATGTGCCCCACGTATGCACTGGCAGGCTGGATGGGAACTGTTTGGTTATTTTTCATGCTGTTATTTTTGTTTTCTGTTTGCATCGTTATATTTATTTTAATTGTCTTTTTTATAAAAAGGCAAATTTCATAACCTGACATATGTTGTTCCAATAGTACTATATGCTTTGAAATTTATTAGGTATGATAAAGGACTGAGAAAAATATTTACATTGGTGGCCACAAAAGAAAAGGTGGAGTTGCTTTTCAGTACCCTGCATATTTTAGATTTGGGGCTTTAAGTTGTCTTGCTTTAATGGTACTTAATGGCTGCTCTGGGACATTTTTTGTGTTTCCTCTTTTTCTTTTTCTTTTTTCTATCCCGCCTCCCTCCCAAACGGGGAAAAAATAAAGGTTTCGCAATCTGCACTACATTCTTTTTTCACCTTTGTTGTGCAAGGATGATTGTGATTTTAAATTTCATTCTCAAATTAAAATTGATACGTCCATATGCAATATACTAGAAATATTGTATATATTGTTACAACTATTGTTACATTAGTCTAATGGTTCTATTAAATAACCATCTATTCCAAAAAAATTATGCTATTAGAGAGAGTGTAACTTAAGTATTTATACTTCAACACGGTCCTCACGTGCAGACTAAACTTTGGGCTTAACATATGAAAATCTTGTAATAATTAGGGTGACGGTAAGATTGGAATGCAGAACATTCAGCTCTAATATCATATTAAACAATCTTCTACTCAAAACTTTTAAATTATTGGAGAGAATGTACCTTAAGTTTTTATATTTCAATAGGGTCATACACTCTAAAGATTCTTATACAAGATGATGTAAATGTGTTCAAGTCTACCTTTTTGGTGAGTGCTGATATAGATTGAGTCCTACAGAAAGTGGTTGTCGTGGTCTCAATCTTGGGAAGTAAAACTATGAGATTAAAGAAGTTGATTTCACTTGAGCTTTTGGTTGTAGAGGCATTACGTGCTTGAAAATTTGTCTATTCAACAACTCAAGTCAATATAGATTGATCCCAACAATCTTTTTTTCATCTGTTTTTTTGTCGCCTTAAGAGGTGAAATAGGAGTAGCTGAATATTTATGGCAGTCAAAAGAGCAGTTACAGAAAAAGTTCGTTTTACGGAGACCAAAGATATATGCCTCTGTTGTATAGATTTAAGGGAGTGGCATCACTAAACCAGTTTTATATTTTTTTGGTGATTATTATTGCATTGCAAGTAATGGATTTTTTAATCTGGAAATATGACTTCCATGATTTCCTAAAATATGTTCCTTAGATAAGATTTTGTTTCAATGATTTCCTAAAATATGTTCCTTAGATATGGTTTTGTTTGGATGATTTCCTAAATATGTCTAATAGATATGGTTTTGATGTCCATCTTTTATTTATTTAATTTCTGTCACTACTGGTGTCACTTGGTGCGGTAAATGAAATCATTATGATGTCCTAGCTTGGAATTTTGATTTTTGAATTTGTATCTGATACTAAGGGTATTTATTTATGTATTTGCTCTCACTTGTGATGTCACTTAATTTGGCGAATTATATTATTTTGATGCCTTTGCTAGTGTTTTGAATTTGTTGGATCTGATCCTAACTGTATCTATTTCACACGGATGCAGTCTTAACATACGATGGTTCACATGCTATGCTCAGAGCGGTAGTTGTCTTCTTGGTCGTTTTAACCATTAGTATCCTGTTCAAGGACATCATGTTTAAAGGTTAGGAAACATTCTATAAATATTCGTCGTAATTAAAGTGTTGTAACAATTTGGGTCGATTTTTGGTGCTCTCATACACTTAGCATTATTTTGTGGTGAAGTTTGTGTATTATTTAAGGTGTCATTTGAAGTATATTGATTATTAATAGGTAATTACTGAACATCTGGTGATTTTTTTATGATAAGTAGATTGATTATTATTAATTAGTTAGGGAACATGTAGTGATTTCTATGATATCGTTGTTTTATCTGGCAAACACTAGTTTTTTTTTTTTTTTCCTTTTTGAAACTGATAAAAAAAAATAATTATGCTTCACTTTTTTCTCTTCTTTCCTATGAAATTTTCTGGTTAAGTGCATTCCGTGCACCAAGGTTGCCTCTAACAATGGCGTAACAACTAGCTTCGACTGGTAAAAGGGCTGCACAGTGTTTAATTGTATGTACACTTATTTCTAGGTGAAACAACTTGATTAGTATGTCGAAGGGCAGCTCCTTGTTTAAAAAGTATGCTTTTCATTTGAAAGTGAGTTTTTTAAACACGTTTTTTAATTTTGGATGGATGTTTTAAAGATATTATTTTTAAAATTATGGTAAAATAGTAAATATGTTTTAAAATTGGTAAATAGATATTAATACCTGATTGATTACATTTAAAAAAAATGATGTTTCAGTTGAGTGCCTTGGCGCTAGGTAGTCCTGTGCGTGCGTGTCTGTGACAAAAAAAATTGAAGATTTAATTTCTTACCTAAAAATCCTACCTATATGAGATTTCATTGGATTAATCACGGGTTTCATTTATTACAAGATATTTTTAGAGTGATCCTAAGGTCAATTAAGTCACAGAGATTTCAATTTTTTGAATAATATATGCACTGAAGTCTAATTCAAGGTATAGAATAAATTCTGATTCTGCGGGGGGGATAAAATATGTCAATTTCTTCTTGTTAATAGCACGATATAGTTGATATTTCTCCACTTAAATGTTTATACTAAATTTTGTGCACCAAATAAAATGACACCCACGATTATAACTTATAAGATACTACTAAAATCCTTTCTTTGTCAAAAAGAAAATCGATTGAGTATGCTACAACCACCCAAAAAGGCTATACCAAATAAGAGGACAGAATATACCCGACGTAGTACTTCCCATCTCCACCCAAAAGAGAGAGCTGAAAAAATATCCTCCTTATCCTCTCCCCTCTATTTCTTTTCCGCTCTCTGCAAATCAGGTATTGGAACAGCGCTCACTTAAGAGCCTCTGCCCTCCATCCTAAATGGACCAGCCATGAGCACCAAACTTCCACTCTCATCTTCATCGCAAAATCACACCCATTTCAAGTAAGTCACGCCCTCACAGTCCACCGGATCTCACCACCACCGTCCTCTCCCTCCACCACCACCTCCTCCTCTATCACATCCAAAACGACAAACCCATTTCGGGTACTAACCACCACCAAACCCTCCAATCTATCTCTCATCACTAGTACCACCAATACACCACCACCTGGTTCCCAAGACCATGCGCTCCTTACTCTCCTCCGCCAAAGAAAAACTGAAGAGGCCTGGCTAGTCTACACGCAGTGCACACACCTTCCCAACCCCACATGCCTTAGCCGCTTAGTCTCCCAATTGTCCTACCAGAAAACCCCCTTGAGCTTGACTCGCGCTCAGTCCATTATCCAACGCCTCCGCCAGGAGCGACAGCTCCACCGCCTCGATGCCAATTCCCTTGGCCTCCTTGCAGTGGCCGCCACCAAGGCCGGCCACACTCTTTACGCTACCTCCATCATCAAGTCCATGCTCATCTCCGGATACCTCCCCCATGTCAAGGCTTGGAGTGCTGTAGTAAGCCGCCTTGCTGCCTCCGGCGATGATGGCCCTGCCGAGGCCATTAAACTGTTCGATTCAGTAACCCGAAAGGTCCGCCGATTTGCAGACCCCACTGTAGTTAAGGATTCAAGGCCTGACACAGCTGCATACAATGCTGTGCTGAATGCTTGTGCGAATCTTGGTGAGACCAAGAAGTTTTTGCAATTGTTTGATGAAATGCCCGAGTTGGGTTGTGAACCTGATGTTTTAACGTACAATGTCATGATCAAGCTGTGTGCTAGAGTTGGTAGGAAAGATTTGCTTGCGTTTGTATTGGAGAGAATTCTTGAGAAGAGGATTTCATTGTGTATGACAACATTACATTCGCTTGTTGCGGCTTATGTTGGTTTTGGTGATTTGGAAACTGCAGAGAAAATTGTCCAGGCGATGAGGGAAGGGCGGCAAGACCTTTGCAAGATTCTGAGGGAGTCGAATTTGGAGAGTACAAGTAAAATTGAGGGTGATGTGTTTGAAAAATTGCTTCCCAATTCGACTAATTTGAGTAATTATGAGCCTCCAGAGTTACCTAAAGTATATGCTCCTGACACTAGGATGTACACAACATTAATGAAGGTTTATATGAAACAAGGCCGTGTTACTGACACAGTGAGAATGTTAGAGGCTATGCGGCATCAAGAAGACAGCACCAGCCACCCAGACCATGTTACTTATACAACTGTTATTTCTGCATTTGTGAAATCAGGGTCAATGATCCGGGCACGTCAGGTTTTAGCAGAGATGACTAGAATTGGTGTGCCTGCCAATCGGGTCACTTATAATATTCTGCTCAAAGGGTATTGCCAGCAGTTGCAGATAAACCAGGCAAAGGAGCTGATTCGGGAGATGATAGATGGTGCAGGGATTGAGCCTGATGTGGTTTCGTACAATACTTTGATTGATGGGTGCATACTGGTTGATGACAGTGCAGGGGCTCTTACCTACTTCAATGAGATGAGAACAAGAGGTATTGCTCCAACCAAGATTAGTTACACTACTTTGATGAAAGCTTTTGCCTTGTCGGGCCAACCAAAATTAGCTAGGGAGGTCTTTGATGAGATGTTCAAAGACCCACGAGTGAAGGTTGATGTGGTTGCTTGGAATATGTTGGTGGAAGGGTATTGTAGATTAGGACTTGTCGATGAGGCAAAAAATATAATTCAAGAAATGAAAGAGAATGGATTTCAACCAAATGTAGGTACCTACGGCAGTCTTGCGAATGGGATTGCAGTAGCCAGAAAGCCAGGTGAAGCACTTCTGCTATGGAATGAAATAAAGGAGAGGTGTGGGATAGAGAAGGAAGGAGAGATTTCTAATTCTTCTCAGGCACTCCCACCATTGAAACCCGACGAAGGGCTCTTGGATACTCTGGCTGATATATGTGTGAGGGCTGCTTTCTTTAGGAAAGCGTTAGAGATCGTTGCTTGCATGGAAGAGCACGGTATACCACCGAATAAGACCAAGTATACCAGAATCTATGTGGAGATGCATTCGAGGATGTTTACAAGTAAGCATGCCTCTAAAGCCAGGCAGGACCGAAGGAGGGAGAGGAAAAGAGCAGCAGAGGCTTTCAAGTTCTGGTTGGGATTGCCCAACTCTTATTATGGGAGTGAGTGGAGACTTGAACCCGATGGAGATGAATATGCTTCCGATTCAGCTTAATGAACAGACTGCCGGTGATAAGCCGGCTGAAATGTCGAAATGTCAATGTTTTATTTGAAAATTGAAAAACATGAAGTTATATGTATGCGGATGTGATTCTGAACCTGACCATTATGAAGTTCACCATTCGAATGTAACATAGATGTATGAGATGGTTTCCATGACAGTACTCATCAGCAGATTAGCAATTTGGACAGAGAGGGAGAGGAGTATTTGAAAGAATATCTGATTGCAGATTAAGATAGAGAAGATGAAGAAGAATGAAAAGGGTAAGAACACAAATAAGATGGTGATTGAAACTCAATGGTTGTATTATTCTTGTTTGATCCGATATACTTTGTATTTGTTTATACACAATGTATGTGATATAAATACATCAAAGAGAAGATTAGTTACAACTGATTTACAGCTCATCCTAACTAACTACTAACTAATGGAACAACTGACTGTGATGGACTCCTATCCAATGTTATCACTTAACAGAATGCTAACCGTCCGATGAGCATTAACTAAACCAATGTATACTCTAGTAGAATTGGCCAATAGATAATGAGCAATGCTACACAATTGCTTGTAATTTGATTCAAATCAAATTGTAAAATAGAAAAAGGGGGGGAGGGGGGGGGGGGGGGTTAGCAACAATTCAGATGAGAATTTTGTTGAATTGAAAGGCTTACCATTGCATCAAAAGTTATTGCTATTAATGCAGACTTAACTTCTTTCTTTTAATTAGCTCAGTAGTCTCCACATGTCAAATTTGTTAAACCCTTCCACTAAAAAAAATGCTACACAATCCAAATAAAACCCAAAAATTGCAATTCAAATGCATATCATCAATTGGGTGAGTGTTGGATGAGTATGTGAAACCCGGTTATACATTTTATTTTGAATAATGGTGAAAATAAACTATTTTAAAAGTTTTGAAGTAGTAAGTATGATTAACTGAAACTTTTAACGAGTTAAGTTTGAGATATGTCAGAATTAAGACAAGTTAATTATAATACATGATGTTATATCTAAACTACAAGAGTGGAATTGAATTGAATTACAATTATTGATAAAAAATGTTATAGGAGTAAATTATAAGCGTTAACTTCTTTAAAGGGTGAAAACTATATTTTGGCATTAAAACATTTTATGACTAAAGTGAAAAAATTACAAGAGTATGGGCATATATCTATAAATAGCTCAATTATAAAATTGGAATGAAGTAATCGGTGGAGACGTATTCTCTTTGTAGATGTTCTTCACTGTTATACACACATTCTCTTCACTTCCTCCTCTCGGTTACCACTTCAGGAGCACTAACAGCTAGAATTTCTTGTGGGTTTACTAAAATTTTGTGGTGGAACTTCTATTGGTTAGATTGGAGGTCTTTTGGGAGAGATAAACACTTCTCTTTGGTTGTTGAAATTGATTATTAAGACCTAAAATCAGGTTATGAATAGTAGAATGTCATGGTTGCATGTATCTATTAGGGGTTGTATTGGTTATAGTATATCTTATCTTGTAACACTTAATTCTTTGGATTTCTTATATATAAGTTGCTCTAAATATGTTTTGGTTGATTGAAAGATAGTGGAATATAGTTGGGAGTGTTTTGATTGCTTTTGGAGTAGATTTAAGTGGGTTATGGTAAATAGGTAGAAGAATGGAGGTGGTGATAGTAATCCTGTTTTTGTTGGACAGACTAAGCACCTGGTAAAAAAATGACGATAACTTCCTCTAGAAAATTTAGATTCATGCACCATTTAAAACGTAGGAAACTAGATTCAAAGCCCGTTCTAATGGTGTATGGTGGGACACCAAAATCTGCCTATTTAAATACAATTTTTTATTCTAAAAGTGAGTAAAAATTAGAGATTTATTTTTAAATGGACGATTTGATTCCCAATGAAAAAAATAATGATAATCCTTTGCTTAGGATATTGTCTAGATCTTTAATGAAGCTTAGAAATTCTATTTTTTTAAATTAATTTGATTTCTCGTTAATTATTGAGGATAGAAGCCGATTTTAATTAATTCGCGCGACAGGTTTGTATTATACTTAACGCATGTCGAGTGTTCGACAAAATGTTTAAGCAAAGGGGAATGATCGGAAGTGGGGCCAAAAGGACTTGGACAAAGTTGATTTAAATGTAGTATGACATAAATTGAATTGGTTTGGATCAAAGAAATAAAATATTGAAAAAATTACGATATGAGGTGTATTAGACAACTTTGACACTTTAATAAAACGACAAAACTTTTCATAAAAAAACTCGGATTGATGCACAGTAGATTTTGTTGGAAACTAGACTCAATGACCTTTCCAGCTATATATGGTAGAACATCATATTATTATTGTGTAAATTTAGTTTTTAGTTTAAAAATAGCTAAAAAATAGTCTACATATCAAATTTTATAACTTGTTGAAAAATAATCAGGACTTGGTCTATGGTAGGTTGTTTTGAGCTTATGACATATCGTTAGAAACCTTAAGAAGTTTATTTTCTAACTCATTTGGTTTCATGTTGAGTTATTATGAAAATAAACCATGAGATTAGAGTTTGTCTTGATTTAAGTCGAGTTGAATTGAAAATGTAATGAAAAATTTCGTGAATAAATTAACACAAAATAAGGACAAGTTACAATAGTCAATTTGATTGACTTTAAGTAAAAGATGTGATGTTGACTATCTTCAGTGTGCTTCTCACGTGCACTGTCTTCTGATTCTCGGTGAATTTGATGAAGATGATGAATTTGGTGAAAATGAGGGCTTGATTGGTGTATTTTTCGCTGTTCAATTGGTGGCTTTGATGAATACGAAAATTGGATTAATGTATTTCATGTTTTTCAATTTGATGATACTTTTGATGACTTGAAGATGATTTGGATTTTTTAAAAAAGGACCATGGCGGTGTTTTCTTCTTCCTGAAGATGAACCTACAAGGCTTTAGTAAACTTCGAGTAGAGCCTCGTTGATCTTTCTTTCTTCTTGGCTTCTTCTCCCTTTCTTTTTCTTCCCTTTGGCCCTCCTCTAGACCTCTATTTATAGTGCTAGGAGTAGTTATCCATATCAGAGTACTTTTGCCTTATTACTCTTATATGGACTTTAGGTAGTAGGCTACCCATAAATTTATAAGCTTTAGTTAATTTATGAAATTTAAGTACAACCCCTTTTATCTTTTAAAAGTTTATTTAATTTGGCCCTATGAAATTTAAGTTGCGTTATTTGGGTTGTAGAATTTAGGTCAAACTCAAGCCTATTTAATTAAATTTAGAACTCTATCATTTGGGCTTATGAAATTTAGATTCAACTCAATTTCATTTATTTGATTGATTTGAGTTTAATTATAGACATTAATTTGTTAATTAAAATTTTAATATCTACAAATGATCCATCGAGACTTATTTACATATTTAATATTTTATAAAATATATAAATGAGTCTCGATTTGTATTTTAATTTTAAAAAGAATTTGATTCAATTTAATTTATACATATATTTTAATTGGAATTATAGTCCATGTTGTTCCCTAAACAAGATATAAAATTCAACTTAGTTATTGTTTTCCAGTCCTCTACTGATATATAGTCTAAAATCATGTAGGCTTTACAATTCTATTTTTATTTGAACATATGAGTCCTAAAATATAGATTTTCAACTTAAGTCAAAAATCTCTTTTTTACTAATAATGATGCTAGACTGACCAAAATTTGGAACCAAATTTTGAGCCCAAATGACATGACAATTGACTTTGGTTTTTTTGATTGGTGTCATGTCATTTGGGTTCCAATAAAAACTTCAAATAATCAACTGTCATGTTATTTGGGCTCTAAATTTGATCCCAAATTTTAGTCAGTGTAGCATTACTCTTTTACTAAAGCACATGAACCTAAAATATATACTTTTAATCCATTTATGATTAGGACAACAAATTATTATTTTAACTCGAATGTCTATATATATGAAGCTGTGTGTACTCAAAATTTTATGGTTAGCAAGACAGTCCACGAGTTTGAACTTTGAATTAAGTTTGTAAGGTATGACTTTTACTTTTTTTCTTTAATGGTATTTTAATATATATATATATATAGAGAGAGAGAGAGAGAGAGAGAGAGAGTAGCGCGATCTTGGAGGCTTTCCACCAGAGTCTCTTGTAGGTACTTTTCACATGAACCATTAGATCGAGATCCAACGGTTACTAGTTAAAGAAGATCAAAATTTAATGAAAACACTTACCAAGTTAAGCTATTAATTAAAAAAGAAATTTTATTGTGAAATTAATTACAATCTTTATCATATTAAGAAAGAATATTTTTTTTTAAATCAAATCTTTTCAAAGAGATTAACTCCTTGATTCAAACTGGTTTATACCAATTGTTGCAACCCATCTAAGATTAATTTCTTTAATCCATTTGCAAATAAATTAGCTCTACTAATTATGCATCCTTATGTCACTGAATGTAATATGAGCATACTTTCACACTCACCATTTGTAAGATCCATCTAATAAATCGTATAATTTTTTTTTTAATATTGTCCTTTCACCAAGTGCATATTGATTCGTGCAATATTTTTATTTTTCTCCATTTATTTCATTATTTTTTAAATTCATTTAAATTAAGTTATAGATTTTTTTTCGATCCGAAAATTGAATTACAGATTACACATCAAACGTTGGTATAAACTAATTTGAGTTAATAGGTTCACCCATGTGACACGTTTTTTTATTACTAATTTGGCTGAAAATATTTGATTTAAACAGGTTAATTTAGTTTCCTTATATGATAAAAATTGTAATCAATATCACAATGAAATTCCTATTTTACTTAATAGCTTAACTTAGTAAGTTTTCCACTTAATTTTGGTCTTTTTCCATTAGTAACCGTTGGATTACGATCTAACGGTTCATGTGAAAAGTATCCGCAAGAGACTATAGTGTGAAGCTTCTATCATTGCCCTACTATATATATATATATATATATATATGTTTTTGATTATTCCGGCCGTTTGGATTTGTTGCAGTAGATTTCTAAATTTGGCTTTAGCTTTGGGTTAAATCACTTTTGCCTTGCACTTGTGCTTTCAATCCTTTTATTTATTTTTTGTTTTTTTTTTTTTTTTAATTCCTTTTGTTTGCTTTAGTTCTTACTGAAATTTTTTTATTTGTTTTGTATTCTAGTTATTTTTATTGGCTGGATCATAAAAACAAAATTTACGACTGCTTTCAATTCAATAATATACCCGAATTTGCAATTTATACCAAGTTCGATATCATAATCAGATATCTTGATTTTATTTTATTTTTGGGTCTTGATTAAAGTGTATCAACTCAATCAAAAATGTTGTATTTTCTTTTTAGTTTTCATGTTTTTTTTCTTCATAGGCTATAAGTGGGACT